AGCTTTGTAAATAAACCAATGTAAGGTTAATACAGGTTTTGCAACTCACTGGCTACATTAAATCTTGAAAAATTGGTCAATTTCTCTAAATTTTGGTTCCATCAGTACTTAGTACTTGTGTGAGGATTAAAGGAGATAATTTATACACAGTCATCCCTTGGTATCTGTGGGACTTTGCAGGGCTGGTTCCAGGACACCCATGTAAAACCAAATCCACAGATGCTCAAGTCCCTTCCATAAAATGGCATAGTATTTGCATGTAGCCTACATACCTCCTCCTGAATACTTTACATCATTTTACCTGATGCAATGTAAATAGTTGTTATGCTCTATTGTATAATAAAGAACAAAAAGTCTATATTGTCCACTACAGACATAACCAGCAAACCACAGTAGGCTTAACTACATTGTGCATGTCAGCAACAGTGGAACTTTTTTTTCAAACATTTTGATCTGTGGTTGGTTGAATCCATGGATGCAAAACCCACGAAGTTGGCAGGCTGATTATAGTATACTTAACATTCTGACTAGAACAGGCCATGGACTTAATACATTTATAATTTTGACTGTAATTTAATAAAGGTCTTAGACAAAGATAGGAAAAGAAGAAATCTAATTTTACTCTTCTTATTATCATGTGGGGTTTTGTAAAACACGGGGGAAACTGTCAGTGACTACTGTGAGTGAACAACCGTGTCCTTCGGGGGCGAGCCTCTGCTTCCCTCCCAGGGTGGCCCTTCTCACTCTGCTCTGGCCACTCTGGCCTCCTCATTTCCATCTTCGGAGCTTTCTGCACCCTCTGTTCTGAATTCCATTCTTCTGGGTCTGTTATCACCGGCTTGTCTCACCTCTCAGATTTCAGGTGAAATGCCTCTCCTTTCCAACCACCAATACAGTAGCCATGCCCTTGTTCTGATCCTTCCCCCTCCAGCACTTATTGCTCTTGGCAATTGCTTCACAATTTACCTATTTGAGAAACATCTGCCTCTTCTCACTAGACTATGCTGTGCATGGAGACAAAGACCTTGTCTTGAGTTGTTCCGTTTAGAACCCTTCCAGAAAGATACGTACTCACTTAATAAAGGACCAATGAGTGGGTGACTTTAGCATGCTAGAGGAGATCTTTTTGGCTAGTACATTATCCAAAGATCTGCGTTCTTTCCTTGGCAGAAGCCCAGCTGGTGTAAAGAACTCTATTCCTGCAGTCTACAGCAGGAAACAGTTTATGCAGTGGTATTGCGCAGAACATGTACCAAAAGAGAGCCACTCTCTTTCAATTCAAGCATCTCCAGGTCTAAATGCATCTACACAAGGACAGATTAAGAAGCCCAATAGCAAGAGATATAACTATTGAGAACTTTGAACATAAGGTTTGGACATTTAGCAATAATTTGCAATCAGAGAGAGAGAGATTCTTTAGCCTCTGGTCTGAATTTCTTATTTATGGAAGAAATACTTTCCTGCAAATTGCCTGAGGCTTAGAAGAGAATCAGTGGATGACACATTAAAAAAAAAAAAAGGAAATAAGGGGCTAGGAATCCCCAAACTGCCAGAACTGTGAGGATTCCCTCAGCCTTACCTGGCTAAGATGCTTACCAGCATCATGATTAGGAGAAATGAGTATCAGCAATACACACAAGGTTACATGTAATGTGGTATGCAAATGTCCACCAAACCTCAATATCACACTCTCAACTGCTTCAGTTCTAAGGAGAAGAAACTCTTTTATTTTTAACTTGAACCAGGTGGACGGAAATGAAAAGAACAGTCAAAACCCTCACGCCCAGTGCGGGCCAAGCCAGTAAGCAGTCTCCCCAGGAGAAACGCTTTGTGAACGAGTCGCCACCCGCTCCGTGTGAGTCATGCATCACCAAACCTTCGGGCCTGCTTTCCAGTGCTGGAACTCTCAAAAGCAAGCAGGCTCAAAGCTGTTCATAGGCTGAGAGGCGAAAAAGTGCAAGAATGTTTTTTCTTCATGGTGCTGCAGTACATGCCCTTCTAATAGCAACTAGCAGCGTTCACTGTGGACCACAATGGCGCAGTTTGTCAAATTATTATTCCAGTGAGTTAAATCATGCCCCCACGGACAGAAAAGTTAATCTTTTCCCAAAGAGCCCCATTTCCACCCAGGAAGCAGCTTATTTGCATTGCAGGAGCTGACTCTGTGTTATTATGTTTCCACAGCAGCTGGGTTCATAGGTTAACCGCATGGTGTGTTAACAACAATTTCTTTTCATCCATTTAAAGTTATTTTCATTTCATTAGCTACCCCCTTGCTCTTTAATTATTCTCTGCTTAGTTTTGTTGCTGCCATCATCAAGTTTCTATCAGGAGAAAGAGTTGCTCCCTTCAAGCCACTGTGTACACACCACACACACGCGTGCGCGCGCACACACACACACCCTTTCTCTAAACCATGCTTTTGACAAAGCTCAGCTGGATCTCATCAGTCTCTTTTTCTTCCTTACTTAGGCTTTTGAATATCACTTTCCTTCAGTCTTTGTCCACTTTGCCACCTTGCTTACCTCCTACCTACAGCTTCCATACAATGGCTGTCTCCCTCCTGGAATCTAAGACTCACAATCCCCATGTAGCTTGCGTTTTTAATTAAATTCTAGTCCCCTACCAGCCTGCCAAGATTCATAGGTGCCCTGAAAGGTTCAGCATTGATTAACTGGAGCTCTGTACACTCTCCAAGCTCTAATGCTAGCAGAGGAAGGGTGGTAAAATTGTGACATATTAGGGTTTCTAACAGTTGTGGGATGATGCTCTTGAGGGAGTGTTTTTTGGAACCAGCAGAAAGTCAGTCAGTTATAAAGGAAGATGAGCATTAAAAGTGACCATAACAACCCTGCACAGTGGTACATTTCTTTTTAAGAAATTCAATTTATTGTTTCTTTTTCATTTCATTGGGAAATTAAACATGACCCCCCTTTCTTCCCCACTTTCACCCTCATTCTTTTTCTTTAAAAAAGAAGAAATCCAAATGATGCTAAAATAAATGAAACCCCTAATATGCTTTTGAGCATTCTTTAAAGTTATCTGAGAACATTTCTCTGAGAGTAACATAATAATTAGCCATCGCCTTTGAATGCTCTGGATTTCTGTAATTACGCATAAATTCCAAAAAAGGCAACTGTCCTGGGACACAAGAGAACAACTTCCCAATGGAAAGAAGATTTAAAAAATAGATAAAACAGTGAATCTATAAAACAGAGGAAATCTTAGTAGATCAAAACGTATCTGATAGGTGAGTTCCTGCAATAACCATTTTTCTTCAGTAACTCTAGTGGTGAGGACCTCACTCTCCATACAGAGATCTTTCAATATCTAAAGAATTCTTGGAAATGCTACAATTGCCACCTATTACAGTTGTTCTGAAGTCTTATAGAGCATGTTTAATGACTTTTTCCTGGAAAGTTTCCCTTCTCCATATTAATAGTCCGGACCTTTGACATAACTCTCGCCTGTGTGCCCGATCACAGGAACCTGCTCTCTGTCTGTTACCTGCTAGTGTTCTCTAAGCGCAAGGCTTGGCTCTGCCACAGTGTTACCGAGGCCCTCAAAGGGCTGCAGAACACACTGCACTCCACCCTTCTAGTACCTGTCCTCACCCGGACAAGTGAGGCCTGGCCCTGGGTTAAGGCCCTGGGTTAAGTCCACACCCGTCCTCTTCAAACTCCTGCGAAACTCAAATCAGAAGAATCTTCAAATGGGTTGAAAACAGACATCACCTAGAGAAAATAGATATTTCAAAGACTCACAGAATTGATATATTAGAAGGAAAGTGATACTTCTAAAAACATCATAGGGACTGTCCGAGGAAAAACATGGCTTTTAGCTTGCACCTAACAAGAATCCTCAGAATCAGACTTAGGGGAGCAAAAATCTCTCTACCTTATAAATGGGGTGCAGAGAATGACAGATACTCAGTCTACAATTTTTTGATTGATTATATAATCAATTCTCCACAAACATCAGCCCTTTTACTACTTTTTAAAACCTCTAAATTATCTTCTTGCAGGAAAAAGCACACTTTCCTCTGTCAAGCATTTGCCTATGAACTTCCCATTATTCTGAATTCCAAACAAATCTCAGTGCTTCCTTTCTTCTCCATTAACAGACCTATTAAAGCCCTGGCTAGTGTGGCTCAGTGGGTTCAGTGCTGGTCTGCAAACCAAAGGGTCACCAGTTCAATTTCCAATCAGGGCACTTGACTGGGTTGTGGGCTGGGTCCCCATTAGGGGGCATGGGCATGCGAGAGGAAACCACACATTGATGTTTCTCTCCCTTTCTTTCTCCCTGCCTTCTCCCTCTCTAACAATAAATAAATAAGTAAAATCTTTTAAAAAATAGACCTATTAAAAAGAAACCTACTTTTTTCCCTTTTAATCTTTTTTGTGTCTAATATAGTAAAAATGAGGACAAAATTCAATTCCTCAGAATTTTTAAATCCTACAATAAAATTTTAAAATGCCACTATTAAAATTGCACAGATACAATCACTTCCAACATTAAAAAAATGTCACTCCATATGCCACCTGAAAAAAATGCAAGAAGGTTTCTTTTCAGCTGCCATCTCTTGAGCATCTCCTACAGGTCAGCATTCTAGAAGCTTTATATAGGGTACCTCATTGATCCTCTACAGACCCGATGAGTTAGTTGCTCAAACTTTAAACATGAAGCAACTGAAGCCCAACTATTAATCATACCTAATGGCACAGCAACAGTAAATGGTAAATCACGACGTCCTGTTTGATATTCATGGAATAAGTGATTAAGCTGATAAAAGAATGAATGAAGGCTTTGCTGACTGAAATGCCCCACCCCACCTCTGGCTGTCAGGGAGCCATTGCTAACTGAGAATATTGCACATTGATAACTGAGACTATTGCACAATCCTCAGAACTGCCACAGGAAATTTTGTAACTATTAGCAAGCTCTGGACTTCGGCCCCCACCCGATTGGCCAGACAGTCACCTGAAGAAGAGGCTATGAAAAGTCATGAATTGCCATTGCCATTTTGAAAACTAAAATACTTACTTTCTACAGCTACATGGTTACAGCTTCCAAAGGAGAGGTGCTTTATGATGAATCCATGTGTCATTATTTTCTCTCTCATGTAAGTACAGAATTGAGCCACGGCTGTCATTCTTCTTATTCTCCAGGCTATCTGACCCGAAAGCTATCAATAATATCTAAGTGGTTTGATAACTGGCCAGTCCAACCTGTTCATTGTAATTGTCTTTCTACTTCGCATCAGTCCCTTTCCTTTTCTTATTTATTAAAAATGTTAAATAAATATCTCTACACATGATTGATAGAGAACTGTTACCCTACCTGACTCATTTAGAAACCTTGGAAGGAAAGGGTATTATCAAGGCTAAAGGTGCTGAGAAAGCTGGGAGGTATAAACCCTCAAGGGAAGTGGCCAGTTCACAAAAAGGCAGCAGGGCATAAAGAAATAAATCGGCACAAAGGATTACTTCTGCACCAAATAAGCAATGGATCAATAAGAGCAAATGTCATATTTCAATTCTGTTCAACACTGCAATGTTTGCAATCTGCTTATCTGCAAAATAGTGGAGTTTCTGAGCTAAAGATGTGCGAAAATGTGGGTTCACGAGAGATTTGCCACATTGCTGTTGCTCTTCTTAAGAAAACGGAGAAACTTAAAACTGCGATGAGCATCAGGAAATGGAACATATGGGCTATTTCGGAAGTGAAAAAAATGGGAAAATGACTATTGAGGCGCTGAACTAATGAATGAAGGAATATGGCCAAAATCCATGACAACCCTAGAAACTGCCAGGGGGTGGTGGGGCCCTAGGCTGCCTTGCCAGGTCTGGCTTAGGCAATTATATTGTCAGCATAAGGACCATCTTAAAGAATACTCCTCAAGGGAAAGAGTCTATCTGGAGATTGCTGCTTTGACAAATTACAAACTTCAAGTGATCCTTTACTCACTCATATATTTATTCAGGTACTGTTCACTACACTACTAAATGCAGAGCATGGTGCTATATTACAGACACAAAAGTAGAATACAATCCAAGTCTTGTCCTGTAAAAGTTATAAGGTACTACTGGGTCAGACATGTAAACTAATAAGTAATGAAAAGAATTATTTACTCCAAAGCTATGTAGGGCTAATATTATACTTGGCATTTCACACAACTTTCTAATTACATTTCATTTAATTCTCACATCCCTATTAGTATTATCATCATTTCTATTTTATAGATGAAGAAACTATGGGTCAAAGATGCTCAGTTACCAGTGCCAAGTGTACGGAGCTGAAAAGTGGCAAAGCTGGAATTTGAATTCAGGACATGGCCACCACAAAGCATGAACTGTTCATCCTTGCACTGTAGTGTTGTTTATAGATGCTGTGTCTGTAAAACTGGACACATAGCACAGTTGGGAATAGAAGAGCGCATTCAGGTCTACCCAGAGGGAAAAGAGAATCTCTAAAGGTTTCAGAGAAGAGCTATTTAGGATGTGAAGACTTAACTGACAAGAACAATAGTTTACCCCACGAATTTCTATGCCCTTTTGGAAATGGAATATAAAGTAAAATCCAAAACTTGTATATACAATGAGTCAGTTGCAAAACTACAAACAGAAACACTTTCTTTCATTACCCTTTGGTCTTCCTGTGCACGTATAAAGTCACACTGATACTTTGAGAACGCAACAGATACTAGCCTTAGAAGAAACCATTTAGGCCACATAATTTTAAAGCTCCATGTAAGGGAACAATATGCGAGGGAATAATGTAGCTCTGGGGTAGTCTTCTGGTTTTTTAATCCTCACCAGTGGCTCAGCCATGTGGGGAACGCAGCATCTGCCTTATCGCCTGCTCTGCACATAGGAGCGCAGCCACTGCTGCGGGCCATGGAGCCAACAAAAGGAGATGCTCTGCTTCAGCAAATGAGCTGTGGTGGGAGATCAGGCATCTAGACAGAAGCATTTGCAGGTGAGGCAGAATCTCCTCTCAGAGCCTCCCAAGAGTGTGGAGAAAGGACTCCCCACAGTGGTAGAAGAACAGTGATAACTAAATATGGTCAATAAAGCTGAAAGGCTCTAGTGTTCCTCACTTGAAGGAGACCCTATGAGCTAAGGCCTCGAGGTTTTCTTTTATGGTTTCTAGAATATAAAAAATATAGTCTTTTAGGGGAAGGAAATTAAGTGTTTTTCAATCTTCTCAAGGGAGTCAAAGGATGTTGGAAATGGTAGTTAATGGATGATCAGCCAATAGTTCAGAATTGAAGATGCTCAATGAGACCTGTGGGAGAGAATGAATGGGCATTTTCTTCCTGGAAAATAGGTCGGGCTACAGTCAGTTATCTCATTTTGACGACGGTGGCAGAATTTAACATGGGGGCCAGAAGACCATCCACACTCCTTCTCGATTGTAAGTAGTCATAAAACGGAAAGACATGGTGCCAGCAGGCTCTTTGCACTCAGAGTAAATAAACTCAGTTTCCACAGCTGTCATGCCTTAATCTAAGTTAATGCACCAAGTTTAATTAGATTGTAAAAAACAGAGAATAAACCAGATAATTGACGAAATATAAATGGAATAAAGGCATTTCTATCCTCAAATGTGTTCCTTGAAAATGTAGAGTAAGAGGAATTGTGGCAAAGGAGAGTGAACATGTGTTCATACGCTGCCGTGTTCATCTGCTCAGATCTGCTTCGCAGCTGTAAAAGGCACTTGCATAGTGTGGGGATGGTGAGCTGATGGCATCTCCTTGAGAAGTGGGGGAACTTTGTCTCAAATACAGCAGGGACAAAAGAGAGAAATGGTATTTCTGGCCACAGAACAGAGGCTAGGAAAATAGAGGGCTCATGTGCCATCTGGATTCCTAATATCACAGTGGATGGCAGTATCACTTAACTTAAAAATGGCTGAATTTCCCCCAAAGTATTCAGAAATCTTTACTATTCCTGTGTAAGAGATTAGATAATAAAGACTGTATTATAATGAGATAATAACAAACTGTATCATAATAGAGAAGTAATATTTATGGAGCCCTCCCTGGGACCCAGACGCTGTGCTAACTACTTTTTACACCCTAGCTCATTTAACTTCCAGCAACTGTATGATGCAGGTACAATAACTGTCCACATTCTATGAATAAGAAAACTTCAGCTTCAGAGGGGAGTGGGTGGGAGGAGGTGGGGGTGAAGGGAGCCTAATATATGGTCACGGCAGATGGTTTGACTTTGGGTGGTGGGCACACAGTACAATATATAGATCTTTTATCATAGATATGTACACTTGAAACCTATATGATCCTGTTAGCTTTATTCACCCCAATAAATTTAATAAAACATTATGAAAAAATTTCAAAAACCTGAAGTTTAGAGAGGTTAAAAATGCCTAAAGTCATGCTTTCAGCAAGCAACAGAAAAATGTATATAGATCATCTATGAAGCTCCGTGCCAATATTTCTGATTTCTGAAAAGAGTCTCTAGGTTTTACTTGCTTTTGAATTTAGAAGCACTTTTCAGTGGCAAAATAATCACTTCTATCACTATAATTAATGAGTTAGTGTCTCTGTTAGGGTTACTATAAAAGAAAAACCGTAGCTTATGAATAACAGAAATTTAATTCTCATAGTTTTGAAGGCTAAGGAGTTCAAGATCAAAGCACGGACAGTTCTGGTGTTTGAGGAGAGCCTACTTCCTAGACAGTTGTTTTTGCTGTGACCTCACATGCAAGGAGGGGCAAGAGCAGTAATCCCATTCATGAGGGTCCACCCTCATGACCTTATCACTGCCCATAGGCTCGAAGTCTGAGTATCATCACCTTGAGGGTTAAGAGTTTAACACATGAATTTTGAGGGGACATAAACATTTAGTTTATTGCAATAAGAATGTTCATTTGTGTGAACCCCTATCACATAACTCAGTTAGAAAAGCAGTGATACTTTTTTCTAATTGTGACCTCCACTACATGAACTGTATGCTAAACCATAATTCAAGATTGCTTCATGATACTGTGACATCACCCAGTGGTACATTGGAGCATCATGGGAAGTGTGGTGAGTTCCTAACACAGTATTCTAGCCCAGTCTCTCCCAACTGACACACACTATTCCTACAGTTCTTATTAAAATGCAGGTTCTGACTCTGCAGGCTGGGAAGGGGGCCTGAGATTTTGCATTTGAAACAAGTATCACAATGATGCCCAGGCTTCTGGTCAGAGTATTCTTTAAGCAGAAAGGTTTGGGGAAAAATCTGGATTCAGGTAAGGGTGATATGATCCATTTCTGGAGCAGCAAACAGTTGCTCTGAGAAAGCTGTCAGATTTAGCCAAATCCTAGTTTTGCCATGTTATAAACAATGTACTTGTTTTTCCTAATTTGTAAATTGGGTTTAAAGATCAACTGTTGTTCAGGCTACAAAAAAAAAATGCCCATTATTCAAAGCCATTCTAATTTATTTATGGTAGAAAAAGCAAACAAGTAGTTTGTGTACATAGGAAAAATGTAAGACCCTTGATCTAGGCTGCTGTCTCCCAAGAGTGTGTCTCTTGAGGTTTAAGCAAAGGAACATAATAATTATCCAGATTCAGTACTCTATGAACTGGCTCAGTAAATTTTATGTCTAAAGGTAAAATTTAATATGTAAGACTAATCCTATCATTTGTATCTGACAAAGGACTCACAAAGTGTTCGCCTCTTTCTCTAGAGCTCCTTTCTACAGTGTGTATGTGCATCTTTCTCATAGACTCGATACCATAAAATAGTATTCACCTGCTTACATTTTTTCTTTGTATTGATGTTTGAAAGTGAGAGCTGCACCTTATTTAAATGTGTAACTAGAAAAGCACTCAGCATAGTTGGATGTTGATTAGTAATTATATTTACAACAGCAGATACTGTTGACTAAACACTTTTCTTGTGCCTAGCCTCATACTGAATACTTAATGTACATGATTTTATTTAACTCGCAGAACTACCTCATAATAATTATTATTCTTGTTACAGAGAGGAGTAAATCAATCCCATCAGTACTTGTTTGACTGATTTCTCTTTGGCTAGAGCTGGTCACTTCTTGGCTCCTGAAATGCTCTCTGTCCTATAGGTTCCAATTTTCTGCTCCTTCCCTT